TTCTATTCTATTCTATTCTATTCTATTCTATTCTATTCTATTCTATTCTATTCTATTCTATTCTATTCTTAGTCTTAGTCTTAGTCTTAGTCTTAGTCTTAGTCTTAGTCCTAGTCCTGTCCTGTCCTACTCTTCTCTACTCTACTCTACTCTACTCTACTTTACTCCACTCTATCTACTTTACTCAAGCATGGTTGGTTTGGGAATTCTGGGAGTTGAAGTCCACAAATCTTAAAGTTGCCAAAGTTGGAATCTCTAGATTAGAGGGAGTGGCAGGATGTTGCCAAGGGAATCTGTCTACAGGAAAAGGTAGTCCTCAACTTAAACCATTTGGTTCGTGACCATTCCAAGTTCTAATAGCGCCGGAAAAAAGTGACTTACCACCAGCCCTCCCCCTTAAACAACTGTTGCAGGAATCACCATGGCCACGTGATCAAAATGGGGACGCTTGTATCACGGGCAACTATTTATGATGGCTGCAATGTCCCATGGTCGTGTGATCGCCATTGACGATCTTTCCAGATGAGCTTCGAACAAGCAGAGTCAAAGTGTATGTGTGTGTTGGGGGGAGCCAGATTTGCTTAACTGCCAGATTCACCGCTGTAATTTGGCTAGCAACCGTGACAATAAAGACCGTAAAATTGGCCAGGACTCATTTAAACAGTTGTCAACTCATAATATATTTCTCTGGTCTTTAGAGTTGACAACAGAATGGGAGGAGGGAGCAGTGCAGCCACTCACAAAACCAAAAGTGCATTCCATAAACGTTTTCAAAGATAATAACTAGGTGACTGGAGAGCCTGATTGATGACTCTTGGCTATGGATGGGTCCCATTGGAGGATATGAATTACGATCCACCCAGGGGGTGGGGGGATAACCAGGGTCAAGGGTGACAATGAATGATGTGTCTCAGAGTCTAGCTGTCAGGATTCTGGCAATGACCCCCATTTAAATCATGAGTCTCGAGCCAAACTTCCAAAACTCAAAAAAGGATTTATTGGGAGTTAACATGTCCGGCACTGCCTGGGTGTAGCTGTGATGACCCAGGGTGTGGAACGAAAGCAACAAAATCACAAAAATAGGTAAAAGCCCTTTAATACCTCTAACTTGGCCCCCAATGCCCAGTTATCATCGGCTTGAGAAAAAACTCTCCCAAAAACAGTTTTCAAAGGGAAGAAATTCCATCCGAACCCAAAGTACATATAAATTATAAACAAAAACCAAACACAAACCACACTGCAGTAATTAACGAGACAGGGCAGGATAAGGGATTGAAGACATCAAAAGATAATGAAACACACACACTTGGGAGGATGCCAGAACTCAAATAAGACTTGACAAACCAGAATAATTTCATGCTTTGCTTCCAGCAACTTTGTCGTGCGCAGTTTGCCCTTTTAAACAGTCTTCCCAGCTGCAGCCAATGAAGGGGATCAGAGCCCTTTCCTCCCCCGTAAACCATGCAACTCACGTTGCTCCCTTATCCATTCCTCCCTGCATGCCCTAGGATGAAGAGGGGGTGGGCCTGGGTCTTCCTCTGAATGCCCAGCCAGACTTTGCCCTTCCCCAGTTTCCTCCACAGCCACCGGAGCCACACGCCAACTCCCTGTCAGCTGTTCCATCTCTCCCTTGGAATCAGATTCCAATTAGGGCACGACAGTAGCCGACTCTGAGGCACATCATTCATTGTCACCCTTGACCCTTGTTTTCCCCCACCCCCTGGGTGTATCGTAATCCATAGTCTCCAATGGGACACATCCATAGCCCAGAGTCATCAATCAGGCTCTCCAGTTAGAATTTTGCTCAGCAGAAACTTCGGTCACCTAGAAACTACCTTTGAAAACATTTCCGGAATGCAGTTTTGGTTTGCAAGCCGCTGCACTGCCCCCCCCCCCCCCCTTCCCTTCCTGTTGGCAATTCTTAAAAAGACCAGAGAAATATTTTATGAGTTGACAACTGTCTCGCTTAACGGGAATTCTGGCCCGGGAATTGTGGTCGGAAGTCATGGACTACCTTGTCAGGCGTTTGTGAGTGTGTGGCCTCCTTGCCCAGAAGAAAGGGGGGTGCCCAGATCTTACAGAACAAGCTGGGCGCTGTCGTGCCGTCGGCGGGGAACCAGTTCCCGCTCCCTCCACTGCACGAAATTGGCCAGGACATCTCCGGCGCCTCCTTCCATCCGGATCTTGTTTTCGGACGTCCAGATCTCCAGGCCGACCAACACGATGCGGATGTTCAGCATGATGTAGATCTGGAAAAGGACAGAGAGGACGGTGGAAGAGAGAACCACATAAGAGGTTGGGCATGGCCTTCGTTAAGGCTGACTGTTATTTTGAAAAGAGGCGTCTTGGCCTCTAGTGACTTTATAAATACACTGGTTTTTTTTTCTTGGCAATATCATAGAAGCATTTTATCATCTTCTTCAATTACCTATTTTATATGACCGATGGATGCTCAGCGCCCCTGAAGACCTCAGGAGCAGTTGAGTGAATTTGTACTGAATGCTCTTGATCTCAGGCCTGGCTAGTCTAGGGACGAGAAGGACCAGGGGAGACAGGAGAGCAGACTTCCAATATTTGAGGGGCTACCAGAGAGGAGGGGGTCAAGCTATTTTCCTATTGTCTATGGTCTCAAGTGACCCCAGTGGGCAGGATAATTACTAAGTACATTTATATATATATTTAATAGATTTTTTTAAAAAAATTTCTCCACACATTATTAGGGGAAGGACACACCTCTTGGTCAAGAGATTTGACCTTCTGCGCATTTGCCATGAATTTCTTCCACTTACACTATCCAGAAAGTTTGCCAGCTGCACCATCTCTTCTCTGACTGCCGTCTTATTCTGGCCTAACAAATTGTACTGTGAGAAAAAAAGGAAAAGAAAGAAACATAAAATAAAAAGAGGTTGGGGCGCACATCATCATGTCAGCCTTGTCAAAGGCATTAAAACTTTGGACAGGATTGCAAGCCAATCCCCTTTAGGTCAGCCAGCAACCTCCTTGGTGACTCAGAGATTCGGTGCAACTTGATTGAGGACAATGAAAATCTTATAAAAGCTTGTAACAATTTTCTCAGATAGATAGCTAGACTGACAGACAGGTGAGAGAAAGAGAGAGACAGACAGACAGACAGACAGACAGACGGACAGACAGACAGACAGACATGTAGGTAGGTGGGTAGGTAGATAGGTAGGTAGGCAGGTGGGTAGGTAGGTGGGTAGATAGATAAGTAGATATATAGATAGGTAGGTGGGTAAGTAGATAGGTAGATAGGATGGTAGATAGGTAGGCAGGTGGGTAGATAGGTGGGTATATAGGTGGGTATATAGGTATGCAGGTGGATAGGTAGGTGGTTAGTAGGTAGGTAGGTAGGTGGGTAGGTAGGTGGGTAGGTAGGTGGGTAGGTAGGTGGGTGGGTAGGTAGATGGGTAGATAGATAATGATGATGATGAAGATATAGATCGGTAGTTAGGTAGATAGGTAGGTAGATACGTAGATAGATAATGATGATGATGAAGATATAGATAGGTAGGTAGTAGGTATGTAGGTAGATAGATAATGATGAAAAAGGAAGGAAGGAAGGAAGGGAGGGCGGGAGGGCGGGAGGGAGGGAGGGAGGAAGGAAGGAAGGAAGGAAGGAAGGAAGGAAGGAAGGAAGGAAGGAAGGAAGGAAGGAAGGAAAGATGATGGATGGATAGATGTATGCATGGATGTATAGATAGATAGATAGATAGATAGATAGATAGATAGATAGATAGATAGATAGATAGATAGATAGATAGATAGACAGAGAAAGACAGAGATAGACAGACAGACAGACAGACACAAGCATCATACCCTTTCTTTGTCTACGACAATGAAGAGCTCCACATATCTCGTCTGTTGAAGAACGCTTCTTTTCCTCTACCGAAAGAAAGAAAGAAAGAAAAATCCACAGGGGTTCATAATAAACTAACAGTTCTGTCCTGATTCTCCAGCTCAAAACAGAATGAGGCCATACTACACAACATACTCCTTTGACACTGCTACTTCAGATAAGAATTTCTAGTATAGCATGTAAACCCAAGAGCAAAATGTCTAGGATACTCTTTAGATTTCGTCATATGTTTCTGAGTCTCATGAACCAAAACTAGATGGTGCTTTAAGAGGAGAAGGACACGGTTTTATTCAAGGGGGAATCAGCGATATCAAAATGGCAGAGACAATTGAACACACCCTGCCCCTTTTTAATTTGCATGTCAAGTGTCGGGATCAAAGCAAATGTCTGGTTGACACAAAAATCTTGACTAATAAAGGAGAATATTTGTATCTCAGGTCCTGGGCGCTCTCTGAGCTTGCTTGTTTTCTTGCAGACATTTCATTACCCAACTAGGTAACCTCATCAGAGCTAGAAGGGAATTAGGTTTGCAGGGAGGAGCAGGAAGAGGAGGAGGAGGAGCAAGAAGAGGAGGAGGAGGAGCAAGAGGAAGAGGAGGAGTGTGGGGTCCTTGGTGCTCTCTGAACTTGGTCATTTCTTGCAAACGTTTCATTACCCAACTAGGTAACCTCATCAGTGCTAGAAGGGACTGAGATTTGCAGGGAGGAGTGGGAGGAGCCGGAGAAGCAGAAGGAGGAGGAGCAAGAGGAGGAGGACTGTGGGGTCCTTGGTGTTCTCTGAACTTGATAATTTTCTAGCAGACTTTTCATTACCCAACTAGGCAACCTCATCAGAGCTAGAAGGGAATTAGGTTTGCAGGGAGAAGCAGGAAGAGGAGGAGGAGGAGGAAGAAGAAAAGGAGGAGGAGCATAAGGAAGAGGAGGAGTGTGGGGTCCTTGGTGCTCTCTGAACTTGGTCATTTCTTGCAGACGTTTCATTACCCAACTAGGTAACACCATCAGTGCTAGAAGGGAATTAAGCTTGCATAGTGCAGGAAAAGAAGGAGGTGGGAGGAGGAGGAGGAGGAAGAGGAGGAAGAAGAAGAAGAAGAGGAGGAGGAGCATAAGGAAGAAGAGGAGTTTGGGGTCCTTGGTGCTCTCTGAACTTGGTCATTTCTTGCAGACGTTTCATTACCCAACTAGGTAACTTCATCAGTGCTAGTGATGATGTTACCTTGTTTGGGCAATGAAACGTCTAAAAGAAAACAAGCAAGCTTAAAGAGCTTGACACTTGTAAGTCCAAAATCACCTAGTCATGCCTAACGTGCCTATTATGTACAGTGCTTTCTAGATATTTTCTCCTTACGCAGACGTATTGATACTAGTACTTACTGATGTATTTGTTTTTTCTTTTTCTCTTCAATTTAACCAAGAGGGCAATTTAAAATAAATAAATAAATGACAGCCATGCCTTCCAAGAGCAAACTGTACACAACAAAACCCTTTCCGAAGGGCACCTACTCTCGCCATTAGAGATGCATTCTGATGGCGCTGAACATCTCCGCTTTCCCACTTCCTGTCCGGATGAGAGACGCCGCAGTTCCCGGGTGCTTTTTTCACGTTCTCCATCCGGTAAACAGCATGGCGCAACGTGTTGTTGATGGGCTCAATTCCATAGGGGATGTCCTGGATCTGCACCAAGCCCCTGGCAACGACAGCACCGGAGGCATCAGCCTCATCTCCCAAGCGAGAGGGATGAAGCCCAGGGGGTGGGCTTCAAAAAATTTCAGCAAGGGGTTCTCTGCCTGGTGGCTGGGTGGGCGTGGCCTAGTAAGCCTCCTGCACCACGGCCGGGAGGGGAACATTTTTGCCCTCCCTGGGTTCCGGAGGGTTTCCTCGAGCCTCCAGGAAGGTGAAAACCGTTTCCCCCGGACTCCGGAGGCTTTCCTCGAGCCTCCAGGAAGGCGAAAACCGTTTCCCCCGGACTCTGGAGGCTTTCCTTGAGACTCCAGGAAGGCAAAAACTGTTTCCCCCGGACTCCGGAGGCTTTCCTTGAGCCTCCAGGAAGGCGAAAACGGATTCCCCCAGACTCCGGAGGCTTTCCTTGAGACTCCAGGAAGGCGAAAACCATTTTCCCCAGACTCCGGAGGCTTTCCTCAAGCCTCTGGTGGGTGAAAATGGCCTCCCTGGGCTCCGGAGGCTCTCCGGAAGCCAGAAACGGGCCCATTTCCGGCCTCCACTGAACTTCCGGGAAGCCCGTTTTTTGCCCTCCCGGAACCTCTGAGCACACCCTGCACTTACCTGCATCCAAAATGGGCCCCGTGGGGACGCCTGGGAGGGGAGGGGAGGGGAGGGGAGGGGTGGGCGGGGCCAGCCAGGAGTGGGATTTGGCTGTTCTCTGAACTGTGCAGAATCTTAGCTAGGGGGCTCTCCTGATCCCCTGCGAACCCCCAGAAGCTCACCGCTGGGTGAAGGAGCTACGGAACGTCACATTCAGAAGTTTAGAAAAACCACACAGAAATTAACGAAGTATACAGAAATAATGGGCATTTGGGACTGTATCAGGAGAGCCAAGGAAGTCCTTTTTTGTCTTATCTAAACACACCCCTGAAGATATTCACCCCTGAATAGCTTCATCAACCAGGTTCTGGTTATAAGGGTCAGAGAACTAAATTCATGCTCAACGCTGACCCCGGATCCAAGGTACCAAATTTTTTTCATACTGGAGGGGAGGGGAGAGGAGGAAAGGGGAGGGGAGGGAAGAGGTGGAGAAGATAAAGGAGGGGGGAGAGGAGGGGAGGAAGGGGGAGAGGAAAAGGGGGAAGGGGGGGGGGGAGGGGACAGGGGGGGGGAGGGGGAGGAGGAGGAGGAGAGAGAGAGGAGGAGAGGAAAGGGGAGGGGAGAAAAGAGAGGAGGGAAGAGATGGAGAGAAGAGAGGAGGGAAGTAAGGGG